GTTCCTGTGTAACGCTAAAAGTAATTTCTCGGAAAAATTCAACGCTATCTATCACGAATGAAAAAAATTGTTTCAATAAAAATTTTACGTACAATCTAATTCTGCAATGAAAAATGTGGGTCCCCATTTGAGATTTGAACGTTAAAGTCGCACGAGGCAGCGCTTATCGGAGTGAACACGTTCGGAAAAGGAAAATTGTTTGTCTTTGTTTATTGTCTTGGCACATACATTTAAGAAAAATCCAGTCAAGCCAGGCGTTAAAGCCCGGCGCACCGACAGAATCTCAGTCAAGCCAAAACGTAAGCCCGGCGTACTGACAAACTCGCGAAGTCCAGTGTACAAGAGATAGTGCCACTATCGGCGGTGGACCGTACGAAGGCCAAAAGCTGTACGAAGGCAATCTCTGATCGTCTCCGCGGGCACTCTTATATGCCCTGGGCAGCTCGAATTCGCGTGCAAGCCGAGGGGCTCGCGCGCGCGACAACCCAGATCGCCGCGTCGCGGCGGCTCCGTGGACTAGGAGCGCCAGGGAATTTCGACGTTCAGGTGGCGTCCAGCGACTCGGCATCCCGTGCGCCGGGTCACCGCGAACTCAGGCGCGATCCTGAACAGCATATTCAAGCTGTGTACTATAATCGTACGGAGAAGGTAGAGAGCTAGGGACAGCTTCGCGAACTAAAGTGTATACCACAGTGATCATGCGTAACTGAAGGGTAAAGAATGATAACTTTTGATAAAAATTAAATTTCCAATTCGCAAAATTGTGTAAATTATTGTATAGAGAATAATGAACGCGGCTATTGAAATTATGAAAGAGCCAAACGAACCGCAGAGCCTCTTAGCCCCTTAATCCTCGCTGAATCGACATTTGTTGCAAATTCGAAATTGAATATCTCGACACCTAAATATCCTAGCAGCAAATTTCAAAAACGGTTTGAAAGCTTTGAAACCGTACTTTTCGAAAGATCTATCGAAATTGTGCGCAACGATATTTTTTCAAAATGGCTGGTGATAAAAAGGAGAACATGAAAAGTTGCTAAAAAAGGGTTCGAGCGTGCGACGGCGTATGGAGCAAAGTAAGTGTCGCAGCTCAATGGGACGAAAAGTACCTAAAAGTATACAATGTTTTCTTTAAAATACTTCGTTATAGAGCTTGATGCGATACTTATTCACTGAATTATGCAAATTTAACAAGAAAATCGCATTTTTAGCAAAATTTGGAACAACTCAGTGAAAAATGATCACATCGAGCTCGGTAAAGTAGCATTTTAAAGATAACACTCTATACTTTCATGTGCATTTGGTCCCATTACACTGCGATACCTGATACACACCATGCACCATCGCAAACACGGACCTTTGATTATCAATTTTGCATCCTCTCACTTTATCATCCGCCATTTTGAAAAAAATGGCCGAGCATAATTGCCATTCAGATATTCTTAAAGAAGTCGTATCAAGCTTCATTTTGCATTTCTGCGCATATTTGTATCTTCATTATTTACCAAGTTATGATCATTTGAAATTTTGTAATTTTTTCCCAAATTTTTAGTGTACCGGGTTTTTTGCGTTTGAGTGTATATATATATATATATATATATATATAATTTGTAGCTAACGATATATTAGCTACAGACTTGTATTCATTATACTTTCTGAGACATTTAATAATAACGGTCTGTGCAATCCGAAGATAATTTATAACAGTGAAAATAGCGTGATAACTGCATTATGATTATTACTACTAGTTTGCCTAATGATTTTTCTCTGTAATTGTTATTAACCACAACATCTTCTAAACGACCTCTCTGTAAGAAATTTTATAAGTATATACTTATTGTATTTCATATCATTCTACCTGCTTTGTTTTAATAGGAATACAAAATATACATAGAAAGGTACATACCACACCACAGTATGAATAAATTTCTGCTCCACAACTAGTGTTGCATAAGCAACTACTTCTTCAGTGTACAGGGTGCGGCGCCAAAATCCGGACAAATTAAACATTTTTTTGAAACATAATTTTTATTGCAGAAATGGAGAAGTTTATAATTATTTTTTTACTAAATTGTTTGTTAGATCATAAAGAACACATTTACTCAATATAACCCCCTTCTTCTTAAATGACCTTCTCCATTCTCGGTCTGAAGCGTTTGCAGGCCCGTTTTAATGAGTTACGGTCCATATCGGTGAATGCCGTTTCAACAGCGGCTCTCAATGATGCAATGTTTGGATGTCTGGACTTGTTAGTGACCCTTTCAACCACGCTCCATACATAGAAGTCCAAAGGATTTAAATCTGGGCTGTTAGGAGGCCACAATTCTTTGGACCAAAACATGTCGACGTTGTCCGACAACCAATTTTGCATCAAATGACTTGTGTGCGCGGGCACACCGTTCTGCTGGAAAACATACGGCTTTCCAGATACAGTTTCCATCCACGGCTTCACCACATTTATCAAAATATGCAAATAAACTTCTTTTGTGACATTTTACCCTTTGTTAAAAAAATGCGGTGGCATGACATCACCTTCACTGGACATAACACTTAGCACGTGAACATTCGCCGGAAATTTCATTCTAAAAACAATGGGGACATCTTCAGGAACATGGGCGAGCCAGGGATCATTCCTTCGATTGATTTTCGCATCGACAAAAAATCTTTTCGTCAGAAAAAAACCTGAGGCGTCCTGCAGCATTGTTTCGTAAAGAACACAAAAGTAGGTTACAGTGCTCGCTTTGTCCTGGCAACTTCGGAAAGCATCTGTCTCACTATAATTGTATAAGACTTATAGCGGAGGTCCTCCTCGACGATTCGACGCATAGTTTCTTTCACTCACACCGACAATCGACGACAATTTTCGAATCGACTGCCATGGATCCTCAAAAATCAGCTCCTGAGCCCGTTGAATGATTTCGGACGTCATGACAACGCGCTCTTTCGAGTAAGTTTTCCTTGCTGGTGTTGCAAAACCTTCGTTGGACTTCTCCGACTCGTTATACTTCGCGACGACATCATACACAGTCGATCTTGGGTAGCCGAGGAATCGAATGATTTTTGTCGCTGAGCGCCCAGTGCAAACACTTTCGATAATCGCGGCTCTTCGATTATACTCCGCACTTGGTTTCAACATTGCGACTATTTCGAGGTTATGAATGTTTAGTACATGTGTCAAGCTATTTGGACGCCAATCGCGACTTCTCGAAGTGGTATAGAACGGCCTAGAGACGGCGACCGAGCCGCTTCTATATCGCCAAGGTCCCCGAACGGACACTTGGGAAACAAGGGAGCTCGAAGCTCCTAGGAGACGCTCCTAAATCACGGCAACGCCGTAAGTATGAGATCACAAGACGAGATTCGAACCATTAGCCTCAACCCAGCAGGGTGTATCGGCGCCGCCTTCAACTCAGCAGAATGTATAGAGCGCTGGTTCGAATCTGAGAAGTAAGAACAACCGCCCTAGGAAAGCCTAGAAAGCGCGTCGATAATCAGCAGTACGATAATCGCACTAAAACCAGCACAGGTGTGTTACTGAGAATAGCCAAGCAAGTGATATAGCAAAAGACAAGGCGAAGCAAGGCGCGCCCGGTTATATAGCCGGGCGGCCGAATCTTGCCTGCGGGCAGTGGAATCGCGGGCCGCGCCGCCTAGCAGCCACGGTCGGAGCTACCAGTCAGGCGCGGGGCACCGGCGGGAGTCCCGCGCGCTCGGCCGCGGGATACCGGCGTTCCTCGCCGCTTGCGAGAATACCCCGGGAGCTAGGCCGCCCGCCCTGTTGCATCGATCCGCGAACCGAATTTCCGCACGGTAGCCCATGCCGTACGAAATATATCGCCCGCCTCCGTCGCGGCGACGGAACTCAACTCGATGGAACGAGCTCCACCGAAATCGCACTCGCGACTCGGCGTCCGTAAGGACTCGCTGAGCCCCTTCATGTTGAAGGCCCATTAGGGTGAACCTCCTTCTGATCGACCGGGAGCCTCACCGGTTTGACCAATGGCCTGGTCAAAGTCGAGTCTGCTGTGCGCACCTGCGCCACGCGGATGTGCCCGTCTGGGCCCGGAAGTAGACGCGTAACGCGACCGAGTGTCCAACGAGCCGGAGGGAATCACGTATCCACTAACACCACGAGATCTCCGATGTCTAGCGGCCAGGAGGCGACGAGCCACTTTCCCCGACCCTGTAACTGGACCAGGTACTCCCTGGACCAGCGATCCCACAGGTTCTCCGTCATCTGTTGGAGCAGCTGCCAACGACTCAGCCTCGTGACCGGAATCTCTCCGAGAGACGGCTCAGGCGGACCTAACAGCGGCCGCCCTATCAAAAAATGACCCGAAGTCAGGGCCTCTAAATCCTGCGGATCGTCCGTCAAAGGGCACAAGGGCCTGGAATTGAAACAGGCCTCGATGCGAGCCAGGAGAGTGGTGAACTCCTCAAATGCCAGCGCCTGGTCTCCTATCACCCTTCGTAGGTGATGCTTAACGGATCGCACCCTTGCCTCCCATAGTCCGCCAAAATGCCGAAGGAAGGATGAACTTCCAGGTGGTGCCCTGGTTAGCCAAAGAAGCCGCCACCGATCCCCCCAAAGCCACGGCAGCCTTAAATTGTGATCTCAACTCCCGGTTCACACCCACGAGCGTGGTCCCTTGGTCGCTATAGATGGTAGCCGGCAGTCTTTGTCGAGCCGCGAAACGATGGTAGTCCGCTAGGAAGGCCGAGACAGAGTAGTCGCTGACCACTTCCAAGTGTATGGCGCGCGTGACAAAGCAGACGAACACAGCGATGTAACCCTTAGAGGTGGTTCGCCCTCGTCCACGAGATGGACGGACCGCTACCGATCCAGCGTAATCCACCCCAGTGGTGAAGAATGGCGGGTGGGGCAACACCCGTTCATAAGGTAGCGGCGCCATCATCGGGGTAACCAGCGTGCCGCTATGACATGTGCACCGCATACAGCCTCGAATTACCCGGCGCACGAAGGATCGCCCGGCGGGGATCTAGAATTGGCGCCTCAACGTGACGAGAGTAAGCTGTACTCTTCCGTGCAGCGTGCGCTCATGCGCATCCCGGGCAACGAGTGCAACGAGTTGAGAATGTCGAGGCAGCAGGACCGGCTGCCGTGTGTCAGCCGGCAATGCCGAGAATTGTAGGCGACCTCCTACGCACAGGAGGCCGCACCCGTAAATCGCGGGATTGAGTGGGCGCAACACGGAACCCACGGCCAACGCCCGTTCCTCGGGCAGGTGAGCCAACTTGTCTCCGAAGAAATTATTCTGCGTGATCCGTAGCAGGCGTAGCTGAGCCTTACGCAGCTCGTCCGCCGAGAGGGGTTCGCGGACCCGCGGTATCAGCAGAAACTGTCGTACATAAGCCATCATGCATATGGTCTTGCGGAAAGAAGAGGCCCGGAGAACCCCGCACCAGTCCTCCAGGTTTACTGCCGCTAAATGAACTCTGCGGCGCTCCTCGCAACCGCTCGGGTCGACAGTGACTCGGAGTGCACTAGGCCACTCCGCCGGGTCGCCAATGAACCAGGAAGGCCCATGCCACCAAAGAGCGTGCCTTAAGCCGCCGGGCGACAAACCCCGGGAGGCGCAATCCGCAGGATTGTCGCCGGACGGAACATAGTGCCAAGAGGCATCCGTTGTGGTCTCGTGTATGAACGAGACGCGGCTGGCGACGAAAGTAGTCCATCTGGATGGATATCCGCCAATCCAGAGGAGTGCGACCGAGGAATCCGTCCAACAATAAATTGTCGGCTCGCCACAACCGGTAGCTTTTATCGTGGCCTGCATGAGGCGCGAGAGCAGCTGTGCACTGCACAGCTCCAGACGGGGCAACGACGCCCGCCTCAAGGGGGTGACCCTCATCTTGGCCGCCAACAGAGTGACCCGTGTGGTCCCATCGGACCGGCGATCCCTTAAATAAATGATGGCAGCATACGCCCTTTCTGAAGTGTCAGAGAAACCATGCAACTGAGTTTCTACCTCAGTGGAAGACCATCCGGTCTAGCGAGGGACTCGGAAGTCTCCGGAGTCTGCTCCTAAAGGAGCTCCTAAAGGAGTCACACCGCTGCGCCATAGCAGGAGAAAGAGCCTTGTCCCAGTCGAGTCCGGCCAACCACAGATCTTGAAGGAGTGTCTTGGCCACTCCTAACTAACAGGCGCCAGCCAGCCCATTGGATCGTACAATCGAGCAACGACGGATAAGATGCCGCGTTTTGAGGCGGTAAACGAAGCATCGGCCCTAACCGAGAAGCAAAAAGCTCGGAATCTTCGCTCGGAATTCAACCGATCCCAAACACGGAGGTCCCCACGGTCCCGGGGTCCGGCAGTGGCACTAATGGTTCTCGGTCACTCTCCGGGACATTGGACAAAAGCCCCGACTGAGAGGCCGCCCATTTCCGGAGGTGGAACCCGCCCGCCATGAGCAGGCTGCGCAGCTCGTGCTGTCGCTGGCGCTCCTCCTCCAGAGTATCTACTCCCGCAAGTATATCGTCGACGTACGTCTGTTGACGCAGCAACTCCGCTGCCTGGGGATAGTGTTCCTCCTCATCCAGCGCGAGCTGATGCAGCGTGCGTATCGCTAAATAGGGAGCACAATCCATGCCATAGGTGACCGTGGCTAAGCGGTACATCCCTATCGGCTGCAGCTGGCTATTTCGCCAAAGGATCTGTTGGAGGTATTGATCCTCAGGAGCCACTCGTATCTATCGGAACATCTGCTTGATGTTCGCAGTGAAAGTCACCTGATGCATCCGCCATGCAAGCAGAACCTCTCTAAGTTCTCGTTGCAGGCGTGGCCCTACGTGCATCAAATCGTTCAAGGACTGCTCATTGGTGGACGCCTGCAAGGCATTAAAGACCACTCGGACCTTGAGCTCGGGAGCTCGTTTTATCACCGGGTGATGTGGCATAAAGTACGAGGGCCGTGGTTGTTCGACACCGAGCAACAGGCGAACCATATGCCTCTGCTGTGCGTAGTCTTTAAGGAACGCTTGATAGGCTTCGCCTAAAGAAGGCTGCCGCAGCAGATGCCGCTCCAAGCGGTGAAGCGAGGCAGTGGCAATCCACTGAGTATCGCCCAGAGAGAGTTCTGTCAGGGGGGCCTTCAATGGCAGACGCAGCTGATAACGGCCGTCCGAAAGACAGCGAACTGACGTTGTAAAAAGCTTCTCGCAAGCTCGCTCCTTCTCTGAGAGTGTGGAGGCCGCTGGAACCTCCTCCACCTCCCAGAAACGTCGTAACAGGCCGTATCGGCCTGTGCACATTGCACAGTATGGCAATGAGAGCTGCCCGGTTGGGTTATCGACGGGAGAGCTCCAAACAACACCCACCCCAAGCAGGTACGTTGTGCGATGGGAGCCCCCCGTGGTCCTCGGCGAATGCCAGGCACCAATATCTCGGCGAACACTTCCGTCCCAAATATCACCTCTATACGCTCAACATCATCGGAACCATCCGCCAACTGAAGGCCCTTCAAAGCCCACTTCCCAGTCAGCTGCGCCCTCTGCGGGGGGTGATACGCCATAGGTCGCGGTAGGAGGGCCTCCACCGTCGTGGAGAACGGGACGCCAGCAGTCGCTTTAAGCTGCAATGACATGCTGGCACGCATCCGTTGAGAGGGTCCCTCCGATATGCCCGACAGGCCCACCTTCACTGACCAACGAGATACTCGGAGGCGCTGAGCGACCGCCTCGGACACCAGGTTCACTTCAGAGTCCTGGTCTATGAGCGCCCGAACCACAGTGGATCGCCCGTTGGCTGCCACCAATCAAACTCTGGCCCTGGCCAGGAGAACCCGCTGCGAGGGCATCCGCGTCGCAGCATGCGCCGTTAACGGCCCCTTTCCTGAAGCCGGAGCGGCGGACTTCCGGTCCTAATGCGAGTGGTGCGGCTTACCGCACACCCTGCACCGACTCGTCGAAGGGCAAGCAGCCACCTGGTGCGATGAACCGAGGCAGTTAAAGCACAGGCCGAGGGTTCTCACTCTTGCCCGACACGACGAAGTCCTTGAAAGTCGGACAGTCCCTGAGCTCATGCTCAGCACCGCATTCGGCACAATGATTTGGCTTGGGCCGATGGAGATGCAAGGCCTGCTCACTCTTTGCGACGACCGGAGAGACCGCGGTGTCACCGCTAGAGTGCGTGCCCGCCTTAACAGCCTCCAGGGCCGCCCGACGCTCATCCAAGAAAACAGCCAATAGGTCTCAGCCCACTGGCTCTCGCCGAACCGCGGTGGCCAGCTCCCAGGCTCGCCGCGTAGCGAGATCCAGCTTGGCACGGAGGGCGTTGACCCACATCTCCTCCCAAGCGTCTACCGGCTGCTCCAAAAGGCGCAACGCGCTCCGCAGCTTGTTAGCCCAATCGAGCACCCTTCGCAATTCGGATGCGTTCTCCTGACGCATCGGCAGGAGTTCACGAAAAGCGTCGAGATGTTGGTCAACCAGGAGGCGACGATTGTCGTAGCGCGCACAGAGCGCGTCCCATGCCTGCTTGAACGAGCCAGGCACGAGGCTATAATTGCGGAGCAACCGCTCAGGCTCGCCCGATACACTCTGCTTCAAGTAGTGCATGCGATGAACCGACGCTAAGGTAGGGTTCTGCACTAAGGACTCAAACAGGTCCTTGAAATTGCACCATTCATCAAATCTCCCCTCAAACCTGGGGATCGGAATACGCGGCAGCGAGGCCTCGTGCACCACCGCTTGCACTGGAACAGCGTGAGCCACTGGCCCAGCCACCTTCAGGCTGTCGAGCAAGTCCTGAAGCTCAACGCGCTGTGCAAGATACACCTTCTCCGCCTCGTTGTATGCGTCCTTTCGTAAATATTCCGACTCCCGCACTGACTTCATGCGGGATGCCCGGATAGTACGATGGTCCGCTTGATACTGCGCTCAATAAGTATCGAGCATCTGCAGACGGGAAGTCAGCCCGGTAATCGTCTTCAGTTGACCGGATTTACGACCGTTTTCCAGCAGTCGTGCCATCCGATGCTGCCGATCGTACTGAACATTGATAAGGCCATGGATATCTTCCTCAGACGTCATAATGAACTCGAGCTAAACAGCTAGATACAGGTCTGAGACTGCCGCTCCCGATCCGGCTCGGACCAAAATTATGTTCGGAACAAGACCGAACATAGAATAGCTCCGGAGAGCTGGCTGGTGATTTTGGATCGCAGAGCGACGTCCGCTTGCGTCCAGGTCGCTCGAGTAAACTCGACGACCGACCGATCGTCCTGGTTGACGTTTGGGGTCCCGTAAGGCGGCCACGGGCCCTGCAGAAACGCGCAACACCGTGTGCCGATGCACCGCACCCAGGGACGGCGGCGAAAGTAAGAGAGAGGAAGGACGCGCACGTGCCGACGTAAAGTGACACGCAATGTACAACGCAATGGACGCAATAGTAACACAAGTGGAATAACGCAGAAGAACGATGCAGAAGGAACGCAGTAGAAACGCAGAAGAGAATAAGCGCAGCTATTTACAAGGCGAAAAACATTCGCCAACGCAAAGTCCCGCAGGACACACACATCTGTGACGTCAACGGTGCGCGGCACCCGGAGCACGTCAAAGTACGTGTAAACGAAATGACCTCCGTCATTTCGGAAGACCTGCCCTTCCGGACGTAACGGCCTACAGCCAGCCACGGTCCCGAGGATGTGTGGAAAATGAGCTCTGAACTCTAGCTCGCAGGGCGACCAAGTCGCTCCTGCGAGAAAACCAAGTTCCCCTACGGACACTTGGAAGAAAGAGCTCGAAGCTCTAGAGACGGCGACCGAGCCGCTTCTAAATCGCCAAGGTCCCTGACGGACGCTTGGGAAACAAGAGAGCTCGAAGCTCCGAGGAGACGGTCGAGTCGCTCCTAAATCACGGTAACGCCGTAAGCACGAGATCACAAGACGAGATTCGAACCATTAGCCTCAACCCAGTAGGGTGTATGGGCGCCGCCTTCAACTCAGCAGAGTGTATAGAGCGCTGGTTCGAATCTGAGAAGTAAGAACAACCGCCCTAGGAAAGCCTAGAAAGCGCGTCGGTAATCAGCAGTACGACAATCGCACTAAAAGCAGCACAGATTCGCTACTGAGAATGGCCAAGCAAGTGATATGACAAAAGACAAGGCGAAGCCATGATGTAAAAATATAAGGTGAACCATTGCGCATAATAGCGGCTGAATGTAGCAAGAACCAATCAGAAATTTGTCCCAAAAGTAGCGCTGAGTTTAAACACAGTTTTGATGAAAATGTTGAATAGTATTATAGATAAATGGAAATATATAAAATTATATATATGTATGTAATTATATATATATATATATATGTAATAAAATTATAATATAAAAACGTAATAACTAATGGAAACTTGTAATATAAGTATAAAATAATGATAAGTGATTATCTATATTGAGTAATAGATATTACGCTATGTTGTAAAATGCAAAATATATTTTAAACATATAAGATAAATGTACTACATTATATTTTATGTTACAGGAAGAAGCATTTTTACATGTTATATAAAAATTGTAGCTATTAGTAATAATTGGAATACCAAAGAGAAGTTATGTAGGGAAAGATAAGATGTGTAAGGTGTATAAAGACATTACAAAATTGCAATATATATCGAGTCTTTTTATTAATAAATATGTCATTTATTTATTGTTTATTACATATTTTATATAATTTTCTATTTTTTCTTACAATATTTTTGTTTCTAATTTCTTTATTTATTTTGCGTAAACGAATATATGTCCTAGTACGCACTAAACAAGCAACAACTTCTCTTGCAAAATTGTTATTGGTTTTGTTACATACAATGTCCGTTAATCTGTCAAAAATAAATGCTTCTTTATTAAAAGTATCGCTATGAAATAATTTAAATTCTCGTTCCATAATATTAGAGGCTTCTTGAAAATCTTTTGAAGGATAAATACAATTTCCCCTGGATATAAAGGAAACCCAAAAATTGGATTGTGCATTTGGAAGAGTTTTTGTAGAACACCCTAACTCAGTAAATTTATTTCTATATCTACGTGCAACATAGCCGGCAATATATAATAGGGCATTTCGTTCAATTATGTCTTCAGCATCTATTCGTTCGAGGTCATACAATAAATTAGCTTCATCCTTGTTAGGCTCATACGTATTTAAATTACACACTAGAAACACGAAAAATTAAAATATTTCTATGTTGATCATATTATATATTGTACCCCAGACAGCACAAATCTTCAAAGGACGTTCTAAGAACGTTCTAAGCACATTCATACATCCTAAGAACATTCTAAGAATATTCTCTGAAGATTTTGTGCTATCTGGGACTGCTATGTTGCTGCAATAAACAGTAAAGAAATAATATTAGGTGCGCAACTAAGTTCTCGCTGTTTTTTTGATGAAAATGCAACTTTATTGTGAAAAAATGGTTACAAATGAATCATTCAAAATATTGCCCATCGCTAGCGACAACTTTTTCCCATCTTTCTGGCAGAGCACGAATACCGTCATGGTAGAAGTGTTCGTCTTTTGAGGCTACCCACGAATCAAGCCATTTTGAGATGTCTTCATATGAGCGGATTAGCCAGACCATGTGCCATCGAACGGAACAAGTAATAATCGGACGGCGCAATATCTGGGGAATATGGCGGATGGAGTAGGACTTCCCATTTGAGCGTTTCTAAGTAGGTTTTAACGGGTTTGGCAACGTGAGGCCGAGCGTTGTCATGCTATAGAATCACTTTTTCGTGCCTCTGCTCGTATTGTGGCCGCTTTTCGCGCAGTGCTCGGCTCAATCGCATCAATTGAGTTCGATACCGTTCCCCAGTGATGGTTTCGTTCGGTTTCAACAGCTCATAATAAATAACATCGCCCTGGTCCCACCAAATACACAGCAAAACCTTCGCAGCGTGAATATTCGGCCGAGCTGACGACGTAGAAGCATGACCGGGCAGTCCCCATGATTTTGTTCTCTTTGGGTTGCTGTAATGAATCCATTTTTCATCACCCGTAACGATGCGATGAAGAAAACCCTTCCTTTTTTGCCGCTGGAGCAGTTGTTCACAGGCGAAAAAACGACGCTCAACGTCTCTTGGCTTCAAATCATAAGGAACCCAAGTTCCTTGTTTTTGAATCATTCCCAACGTATGCAATCGCTTGGAAATGGCTTGGCGGGTAACTCCTAATGCTGAAGCAAGCTCTTTTTGCGTTTGGCACGGATCCTCATCGAGCAATGCCTCCAATTCAGCGTCTTCGAAGATTTTTGGCCTTCCTTCACGCGAACGGTCGTCAACATCGAAATCACCGTCTTTGAAGCGACGGAACCAATCACGGCACGTTGTTTCACTTAGAGCAACATCTCCGTAAACTTTTTGGAGTTCTCGATGCGCTTCAGCCGCCGTTTTCTTCGAATGAAAGAAGAAAAGCAACACTTCCCGCAAATGACGATTATTTGGCACAAAATCAGACATTTTCACACAACCAAAAGTATATGACGCAAAAACAAAATCACTAATGTGTCAAAGCGGTTTGTTTACCATATGTCTAAGCTTGGTTCATGACGTTTTGGTTATGTCACAATCGACCAGCACTTACTACTGGAGCCATCTCTTGAAAAACAGCGGGAACTTAGTTGCGCACCTAATATTTCTCAAGAATACTAACGGTATCATGATTAAAAATAAAGTTGTACACATAATAATTATAATTACCGAAACCGTTCAATATTTCATACCTTCTCCACTTTCTGTTTCCATAGAATTTTCTTCTCTTTCTTCTCTTTGTTTATTAGTGTTCATATTTTGTGTCATGTGTGTTAATGTTGAACCTAACCTAAAATTAATACATCATTTTTCATCATACTTTCATTTTCTAACATAAGCTGTAAAGAATTTACATCATGATTATCCGACGAATGTATGTCTTCCATATCAATGAGCATTGAAGAGTTAGAATCCTTTTCCATATTTTCCTGTGATGAAATAACATATCCGAAATGCTTCCCTAAGATATACCACTTTAAATGTTGTATTTCGACTGGCGTCGGATGATCGTATGCTGCACCCATGGACTTCAGATATGCGAAAAAATTTTCAAGAACGTCTTGATTTAATCGTCTAGTGAGTATATATTTGATTTCAAACTCTTCGGACGAATACTTATTTTGAATATGTATAAACATTTCTCGTAAGGATGTATTGCATATTGCAATTCCTTTTTGGAATTGCAATAAAGTTCGTTTTTTTCCAACTCGCATTTCTTTTATAAATATATCCATCTCATTAATTATTTTATTTTGTTCCTTAATATTTATATCATAAGCGTGCAAGCCACTGTGATGACCATATTATAATGTGCTATTAAATACATTGAACCAGTCGTTAAATAATTTTAATACATAAGCGGTTTGTTCCCAGTTATCAGAATGCAAAAGACCATTTGCTTTACACCATCGAATAGCCGATGCATTTATATTGGAGAATACTTGAACTGCTAGTTTTACTTTTTGACGTTGTGTCCCTTTAGCATCAAGGTGTGTTCTATTTAATTTACGGACAATTTTTAAATCGCCTGTATTAAGTTTTAACAATTCTTCTAAACACCTTGCATCCACGAGATTATCTTTCCAGCAAAACCCAGAATGAAATAGATTGTTCCTTGCTGATTTTAGTAAATGAGGGACGTCAGCATAAAAGAATATTTTTGATGATTTGTCTACGGGATATATAACAAAATATTGCTTTTCACTGCTTATGTCGTTGGGATGATTATTAATATTGATTCCAATATTAAATTCTCTCCATAATTTTAAATTTGTCGGTCCCATATCACATAGAATAGCTACAACAACATAACCAGCCAAATATAGATCTTGCGTTAAAGTAAATAAAATGTTGCGAGACATAGGTTCATCAAAATTGTAATAAATGGGTTGTTTCCAAGTGTTAAATAATCCTCGAGCCATAACAAACTGACAAGTTTTGTGAGGCCCATACACTTTTTGTTCTTTTCTTTCTAGATCCAATTTATTAGATACATACAATTCGTCGAAGCTCAAAATGGTTGATTTTTCCACTGTAGAAAGGTTGTGTCCTTTATTATGCATGATTCTTAACACGTCTTTTAAAATTCCAGGTGAAATACTGAATGATGCCACCCAATTTTGTAATGTTGATTCACACGGCAATGGCATTTTTTAAATATTCCTTAGATATCTGTACGCTTTTGGACTCAATGATCTTAGAGCAATTGCAGATATGATATCCTCGGATAACCATTTTTTACGAGTATTATTCGGTGTATACTTTATACATTAATAATACTTTTTACCCGTCCTGGTGTTAATACCTTTCGCAACGTATTAATGTATTAACGACTATTTTATTTGCTTCTTTCCTTTTATCTATTTCCATTACCTATATCATAGAAACATTTTGCATAACACTTGTCTGCAGTTGTTCTACTTGTGTGTTTAATTGCTCATTTTTCTTCTTGAGTTGTTTGTTCTTTTGTAAAAGTTTCTTATTTTCTATTTCAAAACATCGTAACTTTTGCAATAACGTCTCAGATACATCATAGTTTTCACTTTTTTGGTTTCTACAAAACGCAAAAATATATTATTTTCACGCATTATCTTACAAAATAATACTTTAGTATTACAACCAAACTCAGCATACGCACTAATTCTATTGTGTAAGTTTAAAATACAAGTATGTACTCATTTTCTCTTAGCACGTCATTCAATGATATAAGAGAGTTCTGTTTATCAAAATTATCTTCTTCACTATATATATTTTCCTCGATACATTCAATCTGTAGACAAGTGGATAATTCGCTCATTTGCTGTTTAGATGTTTCGGTGTTTAACCTGACAAATAATTACATTGTTAAATAATTAACAATAATAAAAGTATTACATTTAGCAATATTCATAATTTGATCTTAGTATTTCAGAAACCATAAATAGAACTTAAAGTGGTATATAATGCATATAACACAATGACATAAAGAAAGACTGTACATACTACTGTTAACAATGGCAAAATACATACATTTTTCCTGTCATTACAGAAACATGATCACTATCTGACATTGTTCCTTTTTTGTTTCTTCTTTTCCTGCTTTTATCTAATAGTAACATTTTTGTGGGAATAGAACCCTCCTTGAGTCGTTTCATTTGTTTCATACATGTTTTAGCAGATTTTGGCTGTGTCCATCGCATTACAAAACAGTCATCTTCAAAATGAAGACTGCGTATCCTTCCTACAATTGTACAATATTCTTATTATACTCTATATAGTCCTGTAATATACTTATGATAAAATCATATCACAAAAAGTAAATTTTATTTGCAGTTATTGGTTGCTCTGCATTTTCTTACTCTATCACAATTTGTGTCTAGTTAATGAAAGTTGCTAAATCATTGATACACAATTACATTTATTAAATAGAAGACATATATAATATGACTGGTATTTATAGTTTTTGATCTTATATTTAAAACATCCTCAAACATAAGTGGTTTGTTCTCTTGTTAGCTGAATTAGTTGTACTAGTACAAGAAATTTATGCAAACTTAGATATAAAAATCTTGTATGTATACTTTATTTACTTCAATGTGTATACATATTTTATGCATTAGTGCAGCCAGTTCAGTTAAAGAAAAGAGACAAAAAACTGATTGAATATTGCCTTACAGATCTATCAGCTATGTTATATTATATAGAAAGTATCACTGATATCAACTCACCAGAAATAATTTTTGTGTTGTCTTCACTCTTTCCACAAGCATTTATCCATTTCTCTAATATCACTTTTTCCTTTGGAAATCTAAAGAATGTTATATTTTTTTTGTCGGTGTAAAATGTATGACTTTTGCAATTCTTTATACAACACGATGGCATTGTATCTATAAACATAACCAAATATGCAGTAGATTAATGTACTGTTGACATAGCATTTACAATTGTTTATCTTGTATCTTGTCAATTGTAATCTTAAACATTTGCTTTATTTGTTCAGTTCGGTAATATCCAACTTCTTACCTTATTATTATATATACAGGGTGATTCAAAACAACCTTCCATTATTAAAAGTATAAAATCCTGATAAAATTCTAAAACAACTTTTCCTCTTGCAAAATTTTGGTAAAAGCTTAGATTTTAAATTATTAACAAAAATAGTAGACCTATTGTGGGTCGGGTACGGGAGGTAGACAGGTGCGGCGCAACTCACCGTTAGACGTGGGCGCTAACGCGGAGTACCCGCAGCAATCAGCTGATCACACTACACATATTATACACTAGTTAGGTTCCAATATTCATTGCCAGCATAAAAATCTATATTTTCTGTGACGTTAGGTGATTGTTATAATTGGCAAAAATTTTGGAAAACAGCCAGGATTGTACGCGCACACACATGCAAGCACGTTCTCGGTCTCTCCAAGTCTTTCTGTCTCTTTCTTACTCATTCACTCGTATTCATTGCACGACCAATGCGAAGCGGCGGTCGTGCGTGGTGGGAGATGCACCAATGGACATCCTGCGACGATCGTATAAATGCGTTGAAACAATCGATGCTTTAATCAATAATCCTGCGGTTATTAGAAGCGTTAACGTCAAGACGATATGGCAACATATACGAACGAAGAATATTATGACATGCTATTGACACTCGGAGCCTGTCACTGCCAGGTCGCCGTTGCTACTCGAAGATACGCCGAGCTGTACCCCAACCGAACAAGACATCCGTCGCACCACGTTACAGATACAAAATACAGATTTTTATGCTGGCAATGAATATTGGAACGTAGCTAGTGTATAACATGTATAGTATGATCAGCTGATTGCTGCGGGTACTCCGCGTTAGCGCCTACATCTGACGGTGAGTTGCGCCGCACCTATCTACCTCCCGTACCCGACCCACAATAGGTCTACTATTTTTGTTAATAATTTAAAATCTAAGCTTTTGCCAAAATTTTGCAAGAGGAAAAGTTGTTTTAGAATTTTATCAGGATTTTATACTTTTAATAATGGAAGGTTGTTTTGAATCACCCTGTATACACTGATCTTGCGTGCAAACAATAAAAAACACCGAAAAAAATACACTCAACTAAAATACCTCACTTGTTTCAATGTGTCGCCATATTGGTGTTTTAAAGTTTGGGGCAAATTTCTGAATGGTGGCTACTACGCATCCACGGGAATGGTTCACCTTATATTCTTATACCATGGGCGAAGCAAGGCACGGCGCGCCCGGTTATATAGCTGAGCGGCTGAATATTGCCTGCGGGCAGTGGAATCGCGGGCCGCGCCGCCTAGCGGCCACGGTCGGAGCTACAAGTCAAGCGCGGAGCGCCGACGGCAGTCCCGCGCGCTCGGCTGCGGGAGACCGGCGTTCCTCGCCGCTTGCGAGAATACCCCGGGAGCTAGGCCGCCTGCCCTGTTGCGTTGATCCGCGAACCGAATTTCCGCACGGCAGTCCGTGCCGTATGGAATAGACACTTTGACTATTTGACAAAATGACCATTTGGTAAAATAATTTCATCACATTTTTCAATATTTCATTTTATCTATATTTCAATATATCTATACTGTAATTATCATGATTTGAGAAGTGTGAGTAATGTCGGTTCAACATCTAATATCTTAGCAAATCAGCCTCGAAATGTGCAATACTATAATTACCAAAATGACAACAACGTTAAGGTACGAAAGATTATTATTTTTAAATAAATAACGTATACTGTTATAATATATTTAACCATTTGTCTTGTAATAACAATATTAGTACAAGATGTTCATAACAGGATTTGCACGTTGCCTATTTCATAATTTACAGTGTAATTATTTCATATATGTATAATGTAATTATTGCAAATTCAAATTCAAATGTATTCAGCAGAATATTATAGTGTGTAACTGTAGTAAATTAATAATTTCAAAACCAGTTATGTGTGTTGTAGATAACAATCTTATATGCAATTTTACGTGAAAGATATATTAACCTCATTTACATTTATTGATTTCTAGTTCATGGGTTGTTGTAAAGAATTGTCATCTGATTGGACTCCAGTTACCTTATGCAATAACAATCTATCTGAAAATACGTTGGTGATTATTTTAGATTCAAAACATACATACTGCTAAAATACATACTGCCAAAGTATATTTTAACAATATAATAGTCCTATTTTATATAAAAGTCTTTGGTATTTATTTTTATTATCTCTATTTCTGATAAAACATTTGTATAATTTTCTTAACTATATATTTGTTACCATTGAATTACTATTTTATTATTCATATTATTATTCTTACTTATTAAATTGTTTGTAGCCAACAGCACCTGTAGAATTGCATATACCAGTATTTTCGCCGTCACAGCAATCAACTTCATCGATGTTAAGAGCAACCCCTTCTCCGTTGCAACGACCAACCTTGCCGATGCCAAGAACAACTCCTTCTCCGTTGCAACGACCAACCTCGCCGATGTCAAGAACAACTTCTTCTTCATTACAACAATCAACCTCGCCGATGCCAAGAATAAACCTTTCTCCATTACAACAATCAAGTTCGTCGCAGTTAGTTAAAAAATCTCTGCTAATATCTTTCCATTCATCTTCTGAAGGAGTTTTCATATATACTCCCATTAAAACATTGGCAACAACTTCACAGGTTTCTTTTATTATTTTATGAGCAGTAGACACTCCTACTCTATAAGCGAGAGCTAATGACAATATTTGGTCGCCACTAGCCAGATATCTATGATAAAATTGTTTAAATAATAATGAATATTGTACTTTGTTATTATTATAATGTATTATTAGAATAACACATCTATCTTACCTAAGTGTAATCACAAATGTTGTTCCGGACAAATTGGTTCCCGTAAACTGTTTTTCTGTAGATAAGGTCGCTCCATTTCCAGTAATTTATAAAATGTGTCGACATCCATTCGTATATATCGAAAGAAAAATCACAATCTTCCTTCAATTCCGCAAATAGGGTAAAATCACCATATTCTTCTTGTCTTGTGTTTATGGGTCGCACCCACCATCTCCTATTGATCCAACGCTTACGTTTTCTTCTTTTCCAAATGGCATATAATCCAAATATTTGCACATGAACCAGAAATAGCATAAAATTATCTTTGTCCTATAAAAAAATGTGAATAAATATTATGATGTATATAACACAAAAAATGCATAATATTAGGAGCGCAAAAAAGTTCTGAGCTTTTTTTGCAAAATTCAAAATTTATTTAAAAACAAACAAAACTATATTAATCAACAAAATATTCCCTGTTTGCATCGATGACCTTTTGCCATCTTTCGGGCAGCTTGCGAATTCCCTGATGGTAGAAGCTCACCGACTTCGAGGCGATAAAGTCATCAATGCATTTTCGTATCTCTTCAAGTGTCACAAAATGTGTATCAGCCAAGAAATGCTGCAGAGACCGGAATAGGTAGTGATCGGAAGGCGCCATGTCTGGGCTATACGCCGCGTGCGGGAGAAGTTCCCAGCCTAACGCAAAGATATGGTCCTGAGTCACTTTCGCAACATGTGGTCGGGCATTGTCATGAAGCAGTATCACTTTACGACGTCCTTTGTCAGTAAATGGCCTCTTTTCTTCAAACGCATCGCTCAAATTGCTCAATTGTTGCTGATAGCGATCTGCCGTTACTGTTTCACCCGGCTGTAACAACTCGTAATACAATACACCTTTCCAATCCCACCATATGCAAAGCAAAACCTTCTTGGCGTGGATATTGGTCTTTGGCGTCGATGTCGAAGGTTGACCAGGGTCAACCCATGATTTTTTACGCTTCGGATTATCATAAAGTATCCACTTTTCATCACCTGTAATGATTTGGTGCAGAAAATCCTTTTTCCGGAACCTTGAAAGCAAAGTGAGTGCCGTGTCACGCCGTCGATTTTTGTTGTCTTCGGACAGTGCATGCGGAACCCATCTGCCTTCCTTTTGAACTTTTCCCATTGCATGTAAACGTGTGGAAATGGCTTGTCGCGTAACGCCAAGTTGCTCTGCAAGCTCCTTTTTAGTTTGTGCAGAGTTTATATCCAACAATGCTTGCAGTTCGTCCGTTTCAATCTTTTGAGGGCGTCCAGCACGCGGTTCATCTTCAAGACTGAAATCTCCTTGGCGAAATTTTTGATACCACCTTTTCACGTAGCATAACTTACAGCGTTCTCTCCATATGCAACACAGATAATTTCAGTGGCTTCAGCAGCATTTTTCTTCAGATGAAACGCGAAGTGGGTGGAAAATCGAATATGCTCTTTTGTTATTGCCATCGTGAATACTGCTGATTTTAAGGTTATGTGCATCAAACGCCAAATCGCACTATGTTTCGAAAGACCAAATGTCACTGCTTTAAAACCGCAAGAGGGCGGGAAAATTAATGCAATTTAAATTGTGGTTTCAGTAGTATGAAATCTAGGGCTCAGAACTTTTTTGCGCTCCTAATATTTACCGAATTTGATTTACATATAATTTTATATTTTGAAACACTACTAGATGAAAAAAATAAAAAAAAATTATTTGTAAATGTAATATACATTTATACTAAGAAGACTCGCATTTCTCCATTTTCGTAAGCTACCGTAATTTCAAATTGACAGGTTTGATTTTAGAAAAAGGCCAAACAGCACGAATAAACGGTTTAATTTTCATTACTTTGATCACTGCGTTCCCATAGGATTGGTTAGCTGATGCTCAAATGTTTTCAAGCGATATTCATCCGCCATATTGGATCCGACATTTTGAATTTAGCAACTTTCATTCCGGATTTGTATTTAGCCACTCCAAAATATTCTCATAACGACCGCAATTTTTATCTGATGGGTTCTATACTCTTCGATACGACATTTGAAATTCAGCTTTTCTAGGTTTAACTAACATTTCAATGTTCATAAATTTTTCTTTCGACAACGATGCGTTTAATCGAAAAATCGCAAGAGAGCATTTGTATTCAAAATTTGACATAGAATATGATCATATTTTTGCAACTGTAAAATTTTCAGTTTTGATGTTTCATCCACCGTATTGGATCCGCTATGTTGAATTCTCAAAAAGGCCACACGGCTAGTGAATGTCTATATCACAAAGAGTATTTAGAATCCCGGAAACATTTTTTTTGTTAAAACCAATCGTGGAGAGAAGGAATAATTCTAATTTTTCCCCTTCTTCCGCATTTGCTGGCGCCATTCTGAATCCGCCATTGAGAATTTCCGAAAAGGCCACACGGCTAATGAAAGTAAACATCATAAAGAAAATTTTCAGCCCCGGAAAAAATTTTTTGGTTGAAACCAAATTTGGCGAGAAAGGGTGGTCGGTTTCGCAAAGGATGCCCCATATACATTCTTTTAATCACACGTGTAATCATATGTGATATATAATGTGATATAAATTAAGTTTTATTTCTGTTGAAAATTAATTATACATTATTAATATTTATACTAGTTCAGCTAATTTTAGAAATTAGCTGTAATTGCTGTTAAAAATAATTCATTTCTATTCAGTATATTGCAAAAAGGATTTTATCATAAATATATGTACTACTTTTAATATTGTATTACGTAAAGCATGTGTACACTTTTTTTCGATTAATCAGTAAAAATACCGAGTTATATTTGACCGTTTCGATGTTTTAATGTAATATATTATTTTTATGTGATAGAAGTATGACTTTGACATTTCTTGAGTTATTAACGCACGACTTGTGTGTGCTGTTTCCTTATTGTGATACAAGAAATTTATTCTGTTTGTTCTACCTTTAACAGAACCTACTATTAAGGAGAATATTAATTAAGAAATCGAAACGGTAAAAAATTATTTGATATTTCTAGTGTCTTTTTCTTTTTCTATGTTCTTTTCTCTATCTTTTATTCTGTCCTCTGCCTTTTGTTCTCTTTAGTTTTCTATATTTGACGTCTATCCTTTTGTATTTATTTTGTCTATCCTTTCTATCTATTCTCTTGTCTATCTACGTATCTCGTATATTCTTAGAATATGTAAAAAAGTATGTTCTTTTTTAATATGTATATACAGGGTGTTATAAAAGTCCCGGAAGAGCAGAATAATTCGAAACATATGAGTCCTAGAAAAAATGCGAATTACTGGGTTTTTATGATTTTTTCCTGGTTATCTGACAGTGACCATGGATTTGACCTTGACAATGACCTTGAATGTAATTT